AGCATGCATCAGCACCTCTCAGGAGCTTCTTAGAAATGCGTATTTTTGTCGTCCTTGAACTAAGGTGTCAAAACATAGGCAGACCCAGCTATCTGTGTTTTCACAAATTTTCTCAAGGATTCTTACTCATGACACAGTGTGAGAACTATTTCGCTATGCCCTACGCTCCTGTTCATGCCTCCACACTTAACAGAAAACTCTGGAGTTTGTATAAAGGTTTTATGTATTTGTTTGAAAAGCAGAGTGGTTGAAAGAAAGAGAGACCTTCCATCTACTTGTTCTCTGCAAACAGCTACAATAGCCAGATATGGTCCAGGCTAAAGACAGGGGCCAGAAATTCAATCCTTGTACTCCAGCCATCTTCCTCTGGTTTCCCAAGAGCACAAGCAGGTGATTGGATCAGAAGCAGAGCAAAGGGACTCACATCAACACTTCTATATGGGATGTCTACATTGCAAGCTATGGGTTATCCCACTATTCCACAATGCTGGTCTCAGAAAATTCCACTGAGCCTCAGCTACAAAGTGAAAATAATATTACTTCACAAATAAAAGCCTTTGAGTGGAAAAAAAAATCTGAACTTCAGAAGAGGCATTGTGCTTGCAGAATTGTGTGTGTGTGTGCGCATGCGCTCGTGTGTGTGTGTCATAAGCAGATGGATGTTGTGTGACATCAGCAAAGCAGGTGAGCACCCGTGAGCACCCAGGAGAGCTCAGCTCAGCCCAGCCCCACCCTTGGCCATTGTGCCTCTGCATCAGTTCTATTTCCCTCCCTGCTTCTGGGTGTTGGTTTTCCATTTCAGTACGGTTTGCAGATCAGTAAGAGATGAGTTCTTGCAGCTGTGCCCATTCTGTTTTCCTGGAAAAGAAACTGGAATAACGTATTCACTTCCAAAATGAGGAAACCCTAGAGTGTCTTTGCGAAGCAGACAAAAGTAATCATTTGTCCTACTTGCAACACAGCACACCAAATCAGGGTTAGTGAAGTGTTTTAGAAGGAAAGTAGATCTGGGGATCTGAAAGAACTTTGCTGGGGAATGATCATATACACAAAATCCTAGGAAATAAATCTGTGCCTTGAGTAAATTGCAATTGCCACTAAACTGGTCCATTTGCACGCTATGACAATAACATAATTCCAAGCTATCTTGGAACTATGACAACCCAGACAATTACTGGATCCTGCCCACCATTCTCCAAGCAGAAGGCTCACAACTGGGGCCTTCTGCAGCCCTGCTGAGGACCTGAAACCCACCAGGTCCAACATTCATAAATTATCTTTACCTGATGGCAAAGTGTTGATCACTATTATTTGAAGGAATGCTTGTTAGGCCTCAAAATAGATTTGGATTTAGTAAATGCAGCATGTACTTCTCCATCTAATGTGGACAGGAATTGCAATGCTTTTGACAAATTTTTCTTCCCATCCTTCATTTTTGAGCTCAGAATAACAGAACCAAGACACAGTTTAAGAGGCCACATGTGACTCTTCTAAAGAATAGTGGCTATTCTGCCCTGTGCCCAACCCAATACATACAAATGACCTTTAAAATGTTCATAAAAGGGGTCAGTATTATGGTACAGTAGGTAAAGCTGCCATCTACAACACCAGTGTCCCATATGGGCACTGGTTCATGTCCTGACTGCTCCAGTTCAGATCCAGCTCCTTGCTAGTGGCCTAGAAAAAACAACCTAATATGGCTCAAGTGTTTGGGCTCCAGCCACCAAAGTGGGAGACCTAGAAGACATTCCTAGCTCCTGGAGCAGCCTGAACCATTACAGCCATGAGAAGAGTGAATCAGCAGGTGGTGGCTCTCTCTCCGTTTCTCTCTCTCTCTCTGTAGCTCTCTCTGACTTTCAAGCAAAAACAAAATCAAAACTTCATGTAAAATGTAACCTATGAAAAACTATGAAAGAATTGTAGTTTTTAAAAGATTTATTTATTTTTATCTCATAGACAAATTTACACAAAAAGGAGAGACAGACAGATCTTCCAACTGCTGGTTCACTCTCCAAATGTCTACAACAAGCTTGAGCTGGGTCAATCCGAGGCCAGGAGCCTAGAGCTTCTTCCAGGTCTCCCACATGGGTGCAGGGGTCATCTTTTGTTGCTTTCCTAGGGAGTTGGATAGGAAGTGAAGCAGCTAGAACTTAAACTGCCACCTGTAGGGGATGCTGACACCTCAGATGTTTCACTTACTATGTTTCAGTGACAACTCCATGAATTTTAATTTTCCCCACCAAAATGAAATCATCTTTCAGTTCCATTTCTTTATTATATTTTGAAAGCACCCTCATATGTGTCAGGATGGCCTTCTAAGGAACTTTGGCACAGAAATGTATTCAGGAGACATTTCTATAACTCACTCATTTTGACACTAACACCATTTTTAAAAATCAGTTCTTCCTCTTGGTTGTTTTAAACATGAATAATTAAAGAGTTGGGGGAAATCTGCATTTGTTTTCACTCATGTGTTTTGGGGTTACAATGACATAATATCAGTAAGATGTTTCCAGTGAGAGAGAGGGTAAGGGCTGGTGTTAATAATGCTTTAGAATAAACTTCTATGACTCAAGCAGAATGCAGGGTCTGCTAACTCTTCAAAAACATCTGGGCTAGGAAAAAACTCCCACCTGGAAAAGCATCATTTCTTAGAAACAAAAATTTGATGGCTTGGCATGATAGCCTAGTGGCTAAAGTCCTCTCCTTGCATCCACCAGGATCCCACTGGTTTGTATCCCAGTTACTCCACTTTCCATCCAGCTCTCTGCTTGTGGCCTGGGAAAGCAGTCAAGGACAGCTCAAAGCCTTGGGATCCTTGCACAAATGTGGGAGACCTGGGGAGGGTTCCTGGCTCTTGGCTTCATATCAGCTCAGCTCTGGCCATTGCAGCTATTTGGGGAGTGAAGCATTGGATGGAAGATCTTTCTCTCTGTCTCTCCTCCTCTCTGTAAACCTGACTTTTCAGTGAAAATAAATACATCTAAAAAAAGACTTAAGAACATAAAAATTTGTGATTAACGTGACACATAATCTATGTCAAGTGAAATTTATTACTTTTAGTATTCATATTGAAAATGAATTACAAATTTTTCATCTTTTTGAAGGGCACCTTAAGGGGCTGAATGTCACTGTGCTTTGGGTACTTGGCAGGGTCCATCAGCTGATTCTTTGGTTCCCTCTCAAGCTGCTTTGTGTGGATTCACAAAGCAGCCATGGCACAGCTTAACAGGAGCTGCTGGTGGCAAACACAGAGACCCTGGCAGCAGGTAAATGATTCTGAGCATGCAGGTGACCAGCAGACTGCCTGGGGCAGGAGTCGCCCAGCTCAGGATGGCATGGTCAGCGCAGCCAATCCGTGTGCATTCTGAATAGAATGGCTTTGTCAGTCTTTATTCCTTTCTGAGAGAGGTCAGAAACAGCAGCTAGGGATCCATGACTAGATTTACAGAGAGAAGGAAAGACAGAGAGAAACATCTTCTATCTGCTGGTTCATGCTCCAAATGGCCACAACAGATAAAACTGAGGGGATCCAAAGCCAGGAGCCAGGAGCTTCTTCTGGGTCTTCCACATAGGTGCGGGATCTCAAAGCTTTGGGCTATCCTCTACTTCTTTCCCCAGACCTCAAGCAGGGAGCTGGATGGGAAGTGGAGCCGCCGGGATTAGAACCGGCACCCATATGGGATCCCAGCACATTCAAGGTGAGGACTTTAGCCGCTAGGTCATGCTGCCAGGCCCTATCTTCTACTTCTTTCCCCAGGCCACAACAGGGAGCTGGATGGGAAGTGGAACAGCCGGGATTAGAGCCAGCGCCCACATGATGTGCTGACACTTGAAGGTGGAGGATTAGTTTGTTGAGATGTTAGTGCAGTGGCCAGAATATGCCAGAACACGCCAGAACATGCAAGACAGTGCGGTCCCTGCAGAGGATGTCTGGCACTGGTGCCATCCACTCCTGACTCATTCCCTGACCCCGCTGTGGCTCCAGGGAAGCCTCCTTTGCTGCAGGTAATCCCAGCCCTTACCCTGCAACGCTTAAACACATGAGTGTGGACTCATGGTGGGGACTGCCATGAATAGGAAGCTTGGTACTCTGATTTGGCCAACAGCATCACAGTGGGTACTTTGTTTCAGGCCAAGAGAAGCTCAGCTCTATGTGTGGCTATGAATGCGTGCATCCCCACCCTCTCTGTGCCACTTCAAATACCTAGGACCAATAATACCGCCCCTCCCAGGGCGGCCAGGCCTGCACTCACCTGTTACCTCATGCCCTTGGCATTCACAGCAGTGGCCAGGCGGACCTCACACAGCCATGGCTGCAGCTGCCAAAGGCTTTCTGCTCTCACAGCTGCCAAGCCTCTAGTCCACAGCTGTGGCCAATCACTCATTCAGCCTAATGTGGAGCCGTTCCCATTGGCTGAGCAGTGGCCTGGATGCCCTGGGGCCACTCATCACTTTGCAGCCCGGACTGCTTCCCTACTGCTTTCTCTGCCAGAGGGAGTTAGGTCACCTTCCAGGCTCCATCATCTACAAACCGCATGGTGGCCAATAAGCTGGCTTCGAGAGCTCAGAGTCCTCTGGATGTAAAGAACAGAACGCCAAGGAAGATGATGTGAAATGGCGCCATATCTAGCTTACTTAACACACAGCCTAGGATACAGACTGAAGTCCTGGGTTTCTCTACCTCAGGATCACTGACATTTTGAGAGGAATTGTTCTTCATTATAGGGGTTGTCCTGAGTACTCTAAGAGTATGTTGGGCAGCAACCATATTCTTTACCTGCTAGATGCCAGTATTAATAACCAAGAACGCTTTCCAGACCTTGTCATATGACCCTTGGGAAACAAATAACCCCTGGCTGGGAACCACTGTGTAAAGATAGAATAGGTTCTGCCATTATGATCATCCTATAATAGCACATTTCAGGCATCCCATTGGAAATTCAAATTTGACTGCCAGGCACGAAAACCATTGAAAGAAACCAAAAAAATGAGCTTACCCTTACTATGATCCTTTCAGAGACATGCGCAGACAACAGATAGAACTGGTCTTGGTTAGCAGCATATAGTCCAACCACCAACATGAAGTATCTAATTCAGAAACAACACATAAGAGAACACAGAGAAAGTTTGCAAATACACCCTAATTGATCAGCAGCTCATTTACCCATAATAGTACTTATTTCAAGACTGCCTTTTGCCCCCCATAGTGAAATTAGCAAGCAGTTGATCACTTGCTATTGCTCTGGGTCTACCCTTTGCCTGTTGGAGACACTTATGGGCTATTTGTAGGCTCCATGCAGCAGAAACATAGCCTTCCCTTTCCAGACACCTTATGAGGGGCTTGGGCTCAGTGCATCTCACTCAGCCACATCCCTGGCCTTTTAATAGTACAACACTGCTCACAAACAGGATGGAGCACGTGGAAGACCCTTTGTCCAGAGACACCCAGGCCTTCATGGAGGGTGACCTGGCAGGATCTGCCCGCCATACAGGATCCTTCCCACCCCAATCTGTTCTTGGCTGTGTAGCCTGAACCATCATCATTCTTGACTTGAGCCCAATACCTGAACAACACCTCTCATCCCCAATTGCTCCAAGGGCAGATAATGAGCAGTTATTTCAATTGCATCTTCATTATGTTTCAATGACAAGTTTAAGATTAGATCAGTTCTTGAAGGCCAAACCCCTTATCAAAGAAACTTTAGCTTAATTAAACAAAATAGAAAAAAACCCTATCTGCCTGCATTGGTATTTTCTCTGGACTCTCTAGTTTCTAGGGAATAGGAATTTAGTCTGATATTTACATTAATTCAGCCGTTACTGGTACCAGCTACCACAGAGAATTCAAAATGTGTCATATACCAGGTTTTGCAATTTACCTATGATCTTTCTTTTAGACACCAAAACATTCCTACTGAGACAAGAGATCATTCTTGCCCCCATTTCACAGTATGAAAAAATGAGTCTCAGGGAGGTTAGGTGCCCAAAGTCACCCAGCTAGCAGAGGCAAGATCTATGTTCTAAAACCAGTGGTTCTCCAGTGCTAGCATACAGCAGAATTATCTGGATGGCTGCTTCAAATGCAAAATGCTGAGCCCCACAGCCAGAGGTGGGTCTGTAGGGAGGTTGAGAACTTGCTTAGATCTCTAGCAAGGCTCCAGGCATTGTCTTCTCTGCTAGTCCTGGTAACACACTTTGAGAATCACAGGTCCAAATCATGAAGGCATATTTTCCTTTTTAATGAAAAAAGTGACAGTGAAGCTCTAAGACTCAGAGTACTGCCCTGGTTTCCAGCATGCCGGACTGAGAAAAGCACTCAATCCAACCCACCTTGGCTATGAGACATGCACATGCAGGGACTTGGAGAAGTGTGAGGGAATAAAGGTTGGTCAGGGCCATGGCCATCATGGGGAGTGTGGACAGGAGAGGCAGAGTGTGGGCAAATGAGAGACGGGAAAAAGCTGGGAGAGGCAGAGGAAGGAGCAGGGCAGTTCAGGGTGGCCCGGGGTGCTGGCAGGCAGGGCCATCAAGGTCAGAGGACAAAACAGCCAGCCACTTCTGGGGTGCACAGGGACACAAGTACCTCTGGTCAGGATTTGGTTTCCCCTTCTTCCTCATGTTATTTGCTGTCGTTTCACTGAAGTGTAATCGTCCCAGCGTTACTTTGGTGACCTGGTCAGCCAGGAGATCAATTCTGAAACAACCAGCAGAAATACCAAGAGGTGGTAAGAGAACATGGAACCTGGGTCATATTAGGTCCGTTCTTGGGCTCCTGTTCTAAGCACACTGGGGGAACAGCTTCTTGCAATCACTGCTGGTTCATCAGGGAGCTACAGCATAGTCAACAATGGCTGCCAAGGAAGGCTGTGGTTTGACCTGAAGTGTTGAGACATGCTGACTCAGCAAGAGCTCAAGCCTGGAGCTTCTGACGCCTCAGGGCCCTGTGTTCCCCATGTGACCACCTAGGGGTACTGGCACTTGCATGGCAGGGAGAAAGAACACAGGCATCACCACTTCTCCAGATCAATTGGGAACAGCTTGGCAACTCTGCCACAAATCTGTCTTCTCCCAGTTTCCTGGTGGGAGGCAACTTCCTCCAAGAGGCGGCAGTCACAGGCAGCTCACGCAGTGGGGGAGGGCCAGTTGTACAGACAAGCCAAGGGCTAAGCTCACACAGATGGTTCCAACCTGATGACCACCCCTCCGTGCGGGCTGCAGAACCCTCTTCTCAACCCAAATGTTGGGGACTCAGGATCAAAAACCGTGATGTCTCAGTAGCATCCCAGGCAAATCAGTCCACATGCAACTCTCCTTCTCATAATGCCACAAAGGAGATTCCATTTTTGAACAAACCATATTGCTTTGGACTGCCACATGCAGCCACATGCTTTGGATATGATCAGTCACCAGTCTTGTATATTTCTATCTTGGTCCTCATTGATCTATTGACACCGATGTAAAAAAATAAGAAAAAAATGAATTGCAAACACAGCATGGATTTAAAACCTTAATTCAGTCACCACTGTGATGATTTAATGAAAAAGTAAAAGTAAGATCTAGCCTTGATCTGTCTCAAGAAACCAAAGCTGTTAGTAAGGTTGTTAGTAAGCTTGTTATAAAACGTAATGGTGATTTGTGATGAGTGCTTCGCCTAGTGGTTACAGCACTCTTTAGGGCACCTATCTCTGTTTCCTGTATCCTTGGGTTCAGTGCTGTGCACCACCTCCTGACCCCAGCATGGTGCGAGTGCAGACCCTGCAAGGCAGTCACGTAGTTGAGACAGCTCAAGTAGTTGGATTCCTGCCAAACACATAAAAGACCTGGGTTGGTTTCTCAGATCCCTGAATGTTGCAGACATTTGAGCTGTAACCAGCAGATAGTAGTTCATTCTCTTGTTTTCTCTCCCTCTCCCTTTTTAATCTCTATCTCTCAAATAAAAACATTAAAAAAAAAATCTCAGGAGTTGTTTTCTCAGGAAAATAGATTAAACCACCACCTGCAGTGCTGGCTTCCTGTATAGACATAAGTTCTATTTCCTACCCAACTCTCTGCTAATGCACTTGGGAAAGCATTGGAAAAGGACTTGGACCACTGTACCCACACAAAGACCCAGAAGAAGCTCTCAGTTCCTAGGTTTGGCCTGGCCTAGCCCTGCCCACTGTGGCCATCTAGGGAGTGAACTAGCATATGGAAGAGCTCTCTATTTCACACACACACACACATATATATAAACCAACACATACACACACACAATATATGTGAAGTCAGATCGGGATATATATATATATATGTGTGTATATATATATATATATATATATATATATATATATATATACCACAGTCTGTATTTTTCCCTTTCAAATATATAAAATAAACCTGTTAAAAAACCACTTTTTGAAATGGTGATTTCAAAAGTGGTCCCTTTATAAAGAATTTCTTCACAATTTCAATGCATTTAACAGCTTCATTTTTTGCTTACAACCTATGTTCATAATACTAACTTATTATTTATTTAAGTCCATGCATTTTATTTTTAAAAAATGTAAAATAAATTATCCAACAATCTTCTTCATAAAACATTCACCAAGGAATTCAGAAAAGACATTCTTACTTAACAGGATTAAAAATCTTTTTGCTTCTGTCTGCTTGGGACTGTTCAATGGCAATTATTTGACTGGTGGCTTCTGCCTGTTTGAGACAACAAAAGGTAAATGAAATTTTAGATTATTAATCAAAATGTGTAGCTATAGAAAGTGTTCAAGTTCTTATAAAGTTCTCCAAGGTTCCATGCTAGGCCCTGGGTTGGAAGTGTAAGTCATAGAAAAGACACAGAAGAGGCTATGGCTCCTGCCTTAAAACAATGCATTTTTGATGAGAAAACAATACTGATCAAATTAAATGATAAAAAATGCTGACGAGATTACATGATGAAACATAAGCAGAAGTGAATACAGAGTGAGCCAGCAGAGGACTGAAGCATCAGGAGCGATCGACCACAGCAGGGAGGCAGTGCAGACAGAAGCTCTCTCATTTACTTCTTTAGTCTGAGACTATGCGTTGAGCACCTTCTGTGCACCTGACACTACACAAAACTTTGGAATTAAGATGTAAACAAAGCTAAGCAAAATCCCTGCCCTTTGGGGAGCTTATACTCCCGTACTCTAGAAGAAAACGATGCTATAAAATATAAATAAAGCATTTTTTCAGTCCCTACTACACACTATTGTTGTTAGTCCATGAATCTTGGCAAGGGCATGGGGAGGCCAGCCTGGAACCACACAGCTTGTGGGGGCTCACACCACAACAATCTTTCTGGAAAACAACTGGGCAGTTACAGTAAGAACTGTAATGATGTTTCATCTTCTGGAATTTATCCTCAAACAAAATGGGCACACACAGATATTCATAGCAGTTTCATTAACAGCAAATTGGAAATAAACAGAACTTCAAATAATACAGTTGATGAATTCATCCGATGCACCCATATAATAGTAAATTATATCATCTTTGTGTATATTGTTTTATAGGGTCCTTTATAGTAGCATATGATATTGTTTTCACAATCTAACATTACAAACATGAGAAAAAGATCAAGAAAAACTGGGCTACCAAATGGTAGATTCCAACTACAAATAGCCTGTCTCTTGGTACATTTTTCTATCCATTTCTTTTAGTTACTCATTTCTGTTGTTTCAACATTTTCACAATGAAATCACATTACTTCCATAACAACAAAAATAGGTGCTGTTACTGTAATTTGTTGTGCTTATTTTGGTCTTTTTATTGCTGATTTGGTTTGGTCAGAGCTCAGTTTGGCGTAATAACAAGTGATGTGCTCAGCAGCCACACCCATTTTAGAAAACTTGGTGCCCAAGCCCAGGAGTGCGAAATTAAAACAAAGCATGTAGCTGATGAAGAGTCCCCACTAAAGAGCCGATTATGAGGCAATAACTTAACAAAGTCATACAACCAGAATCCTAAGCTCAGCTCTATCACTTATCATCTTAGGTGTACTGTGTAGGGCTCCTACACAGGGCTCCGTTTCCCCACTTTAAACTACAGAAAGGAGGTATTGACTGAATTAGTGTCGCTTTAGAAGAATCTCATGAAAACCATGCACCTACTCATACAAAAAAGCATCAACATAAATGCTTAATAAAAAAAGTGGGGCCTGGCACAATAACCTAATGGCTAAAGTCCTTGCCTTCCAACTGCCAGGATCCCAAGGGGATGCCAGTTCACGTCCCGGCTGTTCCTCTTCCCATCCACCTCCCTGCTTGTGGCCTGGAAAAGCAGTAGAGGATGGCCCAAAGTCTTGGGACCCTGCAACCACATGGGAGACCCAGAAGATGTTCCTAGCTTCTAGCTTCAGATCAGCTCAGCTCTGGCTGTTAGGGCTCCTTGGGGAGTATATCAGAGGACAAAAGATCTTTCTTTCTGTCTCTCCTTCTATCTGTAAGCCTGCCTTCCCAATAAAAATAAATATATCTTAAAAAAAAAGTTGGCATGGGTCCAATATGGGTACCATTTTGAGTACCATATGCTCCACTTCTAATTCAGCTTCCTGCTAATGGTACCTGGGAAAGCAGCAGAGGATGATTCAAGTCCTTGCATCCTTACACTCATGCAGGAGACCCAGAAGAAGCTCCTTGCACCTGGCTTTGGACTGGCCCTGCTCTGGCCATCATGCCATCACAACCATTTGGGGAGTAATCCAGCAGATAGAAGGTTGCTCTCTCTGCCTCTCTCTCTCTCTCTCTCTCTCTCTCTCTCTCTCTCTCTCTCTCTTTTCTCTTTCTGTAACTCTGAAATAAATAATAAATCTTTCTTTTTAAGTTAGTGAAAGAAGTGTACGATTTGTATGCTGACAACTACGGAACTGTGATTTGAAGTGATGTTGTGTCAGTTTCCAAGTCTAGACCTAATAATTTGCTGCTTCCAGTTCCTGGGTTTGGGAGCACTTAGTCCGCAGAACCCATGTCCCATGCAGGAGGCAGCCCAGGCTGTCCAGGGAGAAGCTCTAAGGCTTCCCAGGCCTGCTTCCTGCCCCTTTGACTGATAGCAGGTGCCCAGCCCCAACTTGACAGGTGTGAGCAAGTCATCTTATAATAGTTTCTAAACAGAGATGGGGAATCATTAAAAAGCTCTAATGCAGTTGTGGGTGCGTGTCATTGTTATTGCAAATCACTGAATTTCGGAGTACTTTTTTACATGGTAACAGACAACTGTAATGCTTACTAAATGTTGCTGCACTTAAATTGAGTTAAATAAAATACTTACCTTAATTCCAAAGGCTTTCAAGTAAAACATTTCTATTGGCTTTAGGCCCATTTGGGTTTTCACAAATTTTGGATTCCCCCAAACTTGGACATGGACGGTTATCTGAAAATGGTTCTTCTTTTGGCAAACAAAAGCTTCATCTGCTGGTGAAAAATTAAACCCTTTGTCTGTGATAACTTGATAGCCCACATCAGGTCTAGGGAAAAAAGGAATCCAGAAATCAATTTCACACATTTTCTTTCATTAAAAATATTACTTATATAAACACCTTAAGAAAACACATTATGGAAAGTGCCTTTTACCATATGCAATCAATGGATGTCTTGCATGTTTACAAGCAAAATGAAAATGACATTTCAAAGCCTCACTGGCTCCTTCCTTGTTTTTAATCTGCTCATAGGAAGAAGTACAACTGCTGCCAAATGGAAGCTTTGTTCCTCAGAATGCCTGTATACTTTGTACTTTCTAGACTGCTAATCTACCTCCACATTACTATAGAAAGCCATTGGAATAGAAGTCAAGAAGTCACAACACTCACTTGTGAAATACATGTAACAGAATTCATCTCTTTCCTCCTGCAAAGGAGCAACAGAGTTTCTACATTTTCCTCTAATTTTAGAAGCTGTAACCATCAGTGTCTGCCTCAGTCCAGGAGGATCCCTGCTCCTTGCAGGTCCTCCACTGTGCCTCAGGTTGCTGCAACAGCAGGTCAGGCAAAGGCAAGCACACCCACTTGTGGGAAGAATTGGATAAGGATATAAGGATTATGCTGTACCCTCCGGGAACTTTAGGCTAACTCACATGACTTGAATTAAGCCACTTCCATGCTCATTTAGAGGCCAGGTGGATAGACCTGTACTGGTTTGACCACAGAAGAATTTGGGGGTTTGGGGGTAAGGTTCCATATTTTGCTGTCAAAAACTCTGAAGAAGGCAAGGTTTACAAGGCAGGCACAGTGACTTGAAATCGAAGGACAGCTGAATATTAAAATGCAACCAACAAGAGTGACACAGTTGAGGATCATTATGACCCTTTAACACCAAATCTCTGCTTACAGAAAATTATTCTCATTACCTAAGAATGGCAATTCTGCTTTAGACATCAAAAGTGATGGATATAGTTGACTACACTGACTTTTTACAACTGACTTTGACAAGCCAGGTCTGAGACATCATTTAGGGAAAAAAAAAAAAACGATAGGATAGAATTTTAATTCTGAATATACTGCATTGTGGGTAATTTAAGGAGTATTTTGTTAACAAAAGAAAGCAGAGTTATCTGAATAGAGGCAAGTGATTTTCTGTCTTAAAAACAGTTAAATCAGGAGAGCCTGAATTTTATTGGCGATGAACATGCCTTCCTTTTTTGCTTAGCAAAAGTGAATTATGGCTAAACATTCAAAATAAGCTGCCTGTTTACCTTTGAGTTGATACCATCTGTGTTCTTTTATTTCCAGATCACTGGAGCAGAGATGGGCTGCTCAACTAAACTTAAAAAAATCTCTTCAAGTAAGAAGAGAAATAACCCTTTCCTTGAAAATTTGATCAGCTTAGATGCACGGGGGCTGGGAAACGTTATAGGATATAACTAAGCTACTTTCTCTGGTCATACCTCAGTCCTTACCTGTAAGGAAGAACATGGACTGCTCCCCAGAAGATAACCAGATGAAGACTAAGACTCAAAACTCACAGGCCCTAATTGTTCCAAGTGAACAGGACTTAAAGTCATCACATTTGAATACTACAGATAGAAATTTGTGATATCTCCTATTAAACACACCAGCTCTCAATGTCTGTTAACTCCTTGAGGGTTTCTTTTTTAAACCATTTCTCCATTCTGGTACATCTAACTTGAAAATACTATAATAAACTAGGCTATATTTGAATTTTGAAAATAATCAAGAAGGCCCTCACATATATAGCCTATTATTTCTCTTTTCATGTTATATTTGTTTATATGAGAATCCTGATTTTTTCACCATTAACACTTTTTAGAGCTTCAAGAAGATATCTATAGTCTGTGAAACTTTCAGAAATCTTAGGCAAATTATATCCCAAAGAGTAAAGAGAAGCTCTAACCAATGTTTAAAAATAACAATATTCACATTTTGTTCTTGAAATTTAGTGTCATAAAAAACAGGTGAAATTTGGTAGGATAATTTTATGATTTTATTTCAATCTCTTAATATAAGGAAACCATGGGCTATGATTGCTGCAGAGTACGTCAATAAGGAACTTAACAACAGTTTGACTTACAGCATGTACGGTGAGGGTGGACACTAATAATTTAAGGTGGCCCAAAAAAGAGTTCTGTGGTATTGTAGATTAACAGCAGGATGAAATACTATTGATTGGGAAAGCTGCCTCTTCTGGCTTTGGTTCAATAGACTGTTGATCCCCAAGAGTCCCTCTCCCTCCATCACTTAGTGGGTAGATTATAATGAGTTGGAATTACACATCTGGGTTCCAGCAGGCCGAGACACATGGCCTGAGTATTCATTAGTTGGGCTACAAAGCACAAGAGATAAGGCAGACACTTTCTCATTGACCCATCCCACTTAACCAGGGGTGGCATCAAAGCCCAAATACCAAAAACTCAGTCCAGAGACTTAGTACTTCCTGTCCCCACTGAAATCTCCAGCTTATCTCAAGGGTCATAGGGTCACTTACAGCTTTTCATAGTGGCTGTTCAACAAGCTGTGCCAAGGAACACTTTGGTAGGGCTGCCACTTCAGAGCAGGGGAGCATTGGTCCGCAGGTATCCCATTCTGTCCCTCACTGTCGTGGTTCTGTATGTCACCATTGAGACTCCTACTTGTCACTGCAAGGAAATGAGTGGGTTAGACCCTTCCTACCAGACTACTCGTCCAGGATCCAAAGGCAGCTGTGTGGAACAGACAAAAGGACCACATGTGAGGCCAAACAACCATGCAGGAGATGCCAGGTATCAGGAGACAAGAAAGGCATCACTGGCCCAACTGTCCATCAGCACAAACAGTGGACTGAGCTCAGTGAATCTCCAAGGGCAGGTGGTGGGCACTGATTGGAAGCCTCTCTTCCATGCCTATCTGCCCTGTTATCTGCAGTTTCCCCTCCCAGTCTGTGTGGTTCTGGTAAAGTCCTCGCCCAGCCCTAGGAGGGCAGTGATCAAGGCTGGACCCATCACAGTAGAGCATTCAGTCCTGATATTGATGGATGAGTGGCCTAAGCCAAGCCCAGAGTGTCTGAGCATCTCAGGGGTTCTAGGTACAAAGATGCTGGCTCTTTTGCATGAGGTTTGAGCCTCCATCTCCAAGAGTTGCTGGCGCCTTCAGGGATGTGAGACAAAGCCCATTTGGGAATGAAACCAGCAGACAGAAGAAAGAGGCAAGAGTGAAGGGTATGAAGGGCTGATGATGGGATTGAAGTTCTGGGAACCAGTCCTTAATGTTCAGATTACAGGAGCCAATGGAACCCTAGGTTTTGTTTGTTCTTTGTTTTTATCCCCCATAAGGCAGTGTGATTTGTGGTTGTTGTTGTTGTTATTCCCATTTGGTTTCACTTTTGAAGACTGTAACCAATGTGTTGTAATTGGGTGCAGGCTCCTGAGGGCTCATGATTCTGAGGTTCTTCTAAATTTAAAGGAGTTATTTATTCATTTTGAGAGTCTCCCTTCCTGTGGCTGAGAAACAGAAATTCCAAGTGCCCATCCCACCCATCTTGCAACGTTACCCAAGCAAACAGAATGAGAACAGAAGGGAAAGCACTGCAAGGGGCTAAAACCAAGATAAAGTAACAGAGAAGATCTTGTTAGTATGCAATATCAACTGGATGAAATCGCTACTTGTGTCTGCCAAAAATGGTCAAATAACAGCAATTTCACTTGGGCAACCAACTATTTTTGCATAATCCTTGCAAGTTGTCTTAATTGAGTATGCCTCTCCAACTGTACAATTCAGTCTCGTCTGCTTTTCATGAGAAATGCTAGTGGGTCTTTTGCTGGTTTGGTTTTCGCCTAACTCCTCTGCTGTCACCTGTGCTTGACACGAGCAGACAAAGGGAAGCAGCACGCGTGTGGAAGGCCAGGTGCAGCCCATCAGGAGGACACAGGAGCCAGACATCGGCCTCTGTAGAACATGCCCGCTTAGCTCACAGCATGGGAAACACAGCAGAAAAGGGCATACTTTTATTATCTAACTTTTTCTTTCTTATTTTTCCCTTGAGGACTTCCTAAGAAAAAATAAATAAACAGCTTCTTCAGGTTACTTTAGATCCCAAATGTCACAGAAAATGTATTTTTCTTGGAGTATTATCCTTAAATGTCAGCTAAAAGAAAAACACCTTTTTGTATGTTTTTTTTTTCTTTTTTTCTTTCTGTGTGTGTATGGTTTTTGTAAACCACCTCTTTTGGAAAGATTTTTCAAGCTCCTGAAAAAGTCTCTACCAAGAACACTGGACATGGGCAAAGTGAGGAACACTCTTATGCCTTCAAATGCTCCTGGGCCTGAGATTTATTTATTTATTTATTTATTTAAGATTTATTTTATTTTTGTTGGAAAGGCGGGTATACAGAGAGGAAGATCTTCCATTCAATGATTCACTCCCCAGGCAGCTGCGACGGCTGGAGCTGAGCCAATCTGAAGCCAGGAGCCTCTTCCGGGTCTCCCACGCGTGTGCAGGGTCCCAAAGCTTTGCACCATCCTCGACTGCTTTCCTGGACCACATAAGCAGGGAGCTGGATGGGAAGCAGGGCTGCCGGGATTAGAACCGGCGCCCATATGGGATCCCGGTGCATGCAAGGCGAGGACTTTAGCCACTAGGCTGCCGAGATGAGCCCAGTTAAATTTTTTTTATAAAAGTAAGTAGTGGCACTGTCCTTATCAACTGTGCATGTTTCAGTTGAATGACTCCAATGTTCCCCAAAATACTTTGGTTCTTGGCCTCCCTAGTAACACTACCTGATACACAGACACCTGGTGAACACCCACTAACTCCTGCCCTTCTCTGCTACAGCATGGCCAGCAGGTCAATACACTGGGTACCTGGCCAAAGGCCAGTATATGATCCCCAGAAGCTGAGGGAGGAGCAGGTCCTTCAGGAGAGCCACATTTCCTGCCCTCTCCCATCTCAACAGTAGAGGTTTTGAGGGAGTCATTCCAAACCGGAGTGACAGGATCATGGCTTCCCTGGGAGTTGTTCACTAGCTGGTCAACCCTAGGGACTGGATTCTGGCACCACAGGCGCACAGTGAAATTCCAGGCACAAGCTTGGGCTCATTTGCCATAATACATGCTCCATATGTTAGCGTCTATTGACCAACATCATATGCGTGAGATTTTTGTTCTTGTTTCAAATAGCAGTCCTTCACTCATTGTCATGGCTTGATCATCATCTACTCACAGTAGAAATATTCTGCCAGATGTTTCCAATCTGTGGTTTTTTTTTACAAGCCATGCTGCATGGACTGGGTTGCATATGCCTTTTGGTGAGCACATGTATAAGCTTCTTTTAGGTTTATTCCATGTGTGGGATCACTAGGTTGTAGGACATGCTGCAGGAGTTGCTGCCAAATAGACTTCAAACGCAGCTAAACTAGAAAGTTTTCTTAATTTCATTTAATGGATGTGCAGTTGATATTTCAAAGACCTGAAATAACCTGCCCAGTGTCACAACTGATGAGTGGAAGAGACAAAATTCAGTGCTTACTATGCTCTCCTTGCTGTTCTGACAATTTCCTGAGAAAATCAGGCAGAATAGAGAAGCAGAAGAAGGGACAGGAAACTGCTCAAGTTCCAACCTTTGAGGGGAAAAAAACCAAAAACACCAACATTGTGGGTTGCAGGTAACATGGCTGTGGCTGTCTGAGATATCTGCATCCCATATAAGTGCTAGTTTGTGTTCCAGCTGTTCTGCTTCTGATCCACCTCCTTACTAACGGCCTGGAAAGCAGCTAGAAGATGGCCTCAGTTTTGGGCCCATGCACCCTCATGGGAGGCCTGGATGAAGCCCATGGCTCCTGGTTTTGACTTGGCCTGGTGTTGGACCTTGTGGCCACTGGAGAGTAAATCAACAGATGAAAGATCTTCCTCTCTCCTTCTCTCTCTGCAATTCTGAGAAAGAGAGAAGAGAGAGAGAGAGAAAGAGAGAGCGAGAAAGAGAGACAGAGAGAGAGAGTGTGTGTGTGTGTATCTTCTAACTCAGAATGAGAGCAATCGCCAGGGCTGGGCCTCTCTTGCCTCTCCAGCAGCGGGAACCCTCGGGGCCAGCCTCTTCTTGATTCTCAAATGAGAATCTTAATTTCTCTTCTGACTCCCCAGTGCCAGTTCAGATGGTACACCACTCACCATGAGTCACAAGGAACAGCCTCACATCTGGAAAACCCTCTTGTAGCTGAAGTCTCAAATATAAGAGGCTAGAGGCTTCCCAGGGAAGGCATGTACCCTTTCATACTTGGGGTTCAGTTCAGGTGAGACCAGGTACCAGCTAGTGGGAACCTGCCAAGGTACAGCTTTTCCTAGAAGCAAGTGTTTCTGTCTGCCCTCACCATCCCAGGGATTCTGCATTTTGACCCTGTCGATGAGGCTCTTGAATCCCTCGGCCAAAGAGGGATTCTTGGGAGAAGGCTGCCAGAATAGCTTCATTGGCTGATTCACAATACCTTCTCCCATCAAAATATCAACTCCACTCAAATCCATGGCTTTACCAGAAGTGCCTCTTTCCTGGAGCCACATGGTATAGCTCTGCCATGGCAGATAGTTCATTAGTAAGCTTCTGCAAAAGAAAATATAGCACATGGATTAACTACACAGCCTTTTTAAAAAAAAAAAAAAAAAGAGAGAGACAAAGAGCTGAAGCCCTGCTTATGTTGACTGGAACTGTTGCCTGCAACCAATTCTCTTCAGCTGACTTTTCATTATCCTTGGAGTAGGATTAAAACCAGGGTCTCAAGAATTCCTGTCTGACGGCACCTGCCAGCTGCTATCCCATAGCCCATCTTGGGGGATTGTGAGAAATAAATGCCCTTTGGGGACGGCAGCCAAAAATTATCCCAGGAAGAAGCTTCACTCTGGACTGACCAGGATGCTGTACAACCTTCTGCTTTGGGCACAAAAACTCCTGGAAGGTCTGAGTGACTCACTTTGGACACTCCCTTCTCCCCTCCAACTGCAGATCTGGTAGGGCATGAGTGGGAGGATGAACAGATGGTTCCACCTTCTGGCTAAGAATTCACTCAGCCTATTAGGGAGAATCCTAAGACACTACAGGCTAAAGGCAGGGATCCCTGAAGAAATTAGTGTCACCTCACACTGGACGTGGGCAGCTCCAGATTATCCAAAATAGGGGTTTCCATGAGCAATTTTAGTTTCTGGGGTTGAAAAAAGAAATCAACTTCTGTCTACCTAAAGGAATGGAGCAGTAAAAGATTCGCTTGGGCAAATACTGGATGCCTAAGCACTCTCTAGGGATGGGGACTTGGAGACTTGACTGAGAGGAGGAGGTCATTATCCCCTAAAGACCTCCATGGCCGGTTGGCATTGGAGCTAAAACCAGAGGTCCCCACTGGCTGAGATGGCACCCTACAGGTGTTAAAGGCAAAGGCAGCAAGGCAGCAACCTTGACTGGTGAATGACATTGCCCTTTGAAGGCTAGAAAAGCCACAGCCACACACACACAGACACACAGACACACACACACACACTCCTGGCAGTAGAAACTTCCAGAGTTTGGGATTCTGCAAGAGGGAACCCTCATGCCAAGCTGATGCAGGGATGAGAGATAGGAACTTGCACTCTGAGCACAGGGCACTATATATACAACCTCCACTGGAAAATCTACAGTGGCTAAGAAGCCCAGAGAATTTACTTTGAAAATTCAGAAATTCGAGTCTTCAGACTCCAAATGATCAATTTGTTCACAACTTGGTGAAAACTAGGTTGGCTGGCCCCTACGGCATCAGATTCTGCCTACAGAGGACTTCCAACATGATTTCAGAAAACTTCAAAGCTTTACTGGAACTTTCTGGTTTGATGTGAGGATGAGGAAAGCTCAACCTTCTACCCTCCCACTCCCCTGGAGAAATCCTCTAAAGTCTTGCTTCTTAGAGTGCCTTCCGGGAACCAGCAGCATTGGCCTCCCCTGGGAGATCACTAAAATGGTAGGTCTTAGACCCCAGATCAGATTCATGTAGTCAGAATCTGCACTTAACCCAAATCCTCATGCTGTTCTACACACATCACAGCTAAAGAGATTGACGCTAAACAAGGCGCTGGATGCACCAGCAAGCTCTTGCGGTTGGCAGTTGTTGCAAACTTTCCCCAAGCCCTGAAGCCCAGGTCTTCTGAGACATGGCACTCCTAAAGTGGAAATCCTGTGATTGCACCTGTACCCAAGAGGGAACAACCTCTCCCCGGAGCACATAAGTGACCCTACCTGGAAAGGCATATCCAGAGGGAAGACAGCCTGGAGGCCCTATGAATGGGAATGCAATCTTGTAAGATTGCTCAAGGCTGCTGACAAACCTTGACCCAGTAGCCGAAGGTTTGCAGGCCATGATCTTGTCCCTCCCCAGGTTTGCTCACTTGATCTGGAGTAGTGAGGCCACACTTGACAGTCTTCAGGGTCCTCCAGGGCCTGCGTGTGTTTCCTCTTCTTGGTTGGGGGTAAGGAGGCACTAGAATGAAGAAGCCAGGATGGACATTAGAATTTTTCTTTGTTAAACTAGTTCAATCTCCCAGGTATCCACTCTCCCCCTCCTAAGGCTAACTCCAGTTAGTTAAGGTTCTTTAAGTCTTACTAGTCAGAAACTTCGATTTTTTTTTTTCGGGGAGTCTGAGATTCACCTGCCTGGAAAACAGACTTTTGCAAAGGCAAATCACGCACAATGAGAGGACAAGAACATAAAACTCTGGTGTAGGTCTTTGGGTGACGTTTTAGCCACTTTTTTTTGGTCACCCTTTGCACTTTTGTCACCAAGATCTGATGGAAAAAAGGAGGGATTGGTGGGGGGAAAGACTATTAGTCAATAACAGCCGACGGATACTTTTCTGGTAATTTACTCAGTTTCCGTCTAGTGGATTCACACACAAACGGCGCTTCCTCCCTTACGCAGAAACTCCCTGTGCCTTTCTGACACTTCAGCTCTCTGCTGAATGAGGGCCTTTGTGTTTCTTGGGTTTTTAATTAAAAGATGGGCTGGTCACGTCCTATATGCGTCTCAACGCTGCCACCTGCTGGAGAGGAGTCCATGGGACGCTCTACACGGCCAGCGCCTGCCAAGGGCTTTCTCCTGAGGTGGCGTCTGCCTAATGCTGGTTCCCTTTACCCAGAGACGTGGCACAGAGATTGCTGATGGTGAGAGCAACTTAGCCCGAGGTGGGAGGACGTGCACGGGTCCAAAGGGGTGGCGGGATGGCTGGTGTCGAGGTAGCAGGTGGGAAAGCCGCTGTGGGTTTGGCTGGAGCAGTTCAAGGTAGCCATGCTCTGCGGAGGACGTGTGGGCAGCATTTCAGCAGCAGCTGTAGAGTGGAGACAAGTCGCTGGGGCCATCCCGGCTGCAGGTCTCAAGGTCTGGTGGCAGGCACCTGGGGAGGAAAACACAGCAGAAGTGCCCTCTACTTCTCACTACCCAGCTTCTGAGAAGGGGCAGCACAGGGCAAGACCTCACTCACCTTTGACCGGTGGAGGAGAGTAGGGGTCTGATGCAGAATAGGGTGGAGTGTCAGGGAGCTGGCGTTGCCTGAGGATTAGAGACACAGGTTGCTTTGTGCTCGACTCTTTCCCATCTGCTAGAGTTATGTCCCTGGCGGGAGGCAGCTCCCACAATGGAGATTCCAGGAGTTCTGGGTGAGGGACATGACAAACAATCCAATGTCCACACACATGGTAGAATGACTGGTTCTGAGTTCCAGTTCTCCCAGTCCCTAGCTGCAGCCATAAACCAGCACTTAACCTCTCTCGGGCTTCCATGTTTTCTAATACAAAATAGGAGTAATCATCACATCCAGGTCTCAAAATCCACAACATCCTGCTCCAGACCCAGTGCCTGTGAGTGGAGTTTAACTGCTGCCACTATCCCATAACATGCTCAACATACATACACTAGAGAGATGCTGTGCATGCTCTTGGCCTAAGGAGGTACGAATGCTGCCCCTTAGCATGCAGAAACTCCTCACACGAGGACCATTTGATTTTTATCTCATTTTTCTTGGTTAAGATTCCAATATGATACAAGGAAGAGAGAAGCTTGTTTTTACCATGCACCAGGAAAGTCATGCTTTCTCCTCAAATGGGTTCATTCCATTTATCCATTTCCTATTCAGAAGATGAGAGACCATCCATAGATCCTGCTCCAGAAAACCACATCCCAACCAGTATCAGCGAATGGTGAGGCCTATGCATGGAAGGACATGGGATTCAGAGTGCCACAGACCAGGTTACAGCACCGCAGTACCAGCCAGGGTGAGGATGGATGGAGGCTGAATTCCCAGAAGGAGAAAGGCAAGTACAGAACTGTCTGGGAAGGGTGGAAGGGATGGAGGGAGCCAAGAAAAAGCATCTGACCAGACAGGACTCCATGAAAGCCCTTTTTTATTGGGGTCACCAGGAGTCTAAGCAGAGTTGACTGGAGATTTGATTAGAAAGAATCAAATCCTCAGATAGGTCTCCTCACCCTGCAGATTTGATAATGATCCTTTCAGTGGTTAAGAAGAGTCCCTCTGTGGAAAAACAGAATGAGGAAACTGGGGTACAGGTTTGCCAGGCACAAGGACCTGGGGAGGGGCTCGAATGAATATTGGAAGGATTCAGTGATACTTGAAATGCCAAGGAGCAGGCATTTGGACTAGCTGTCAAGATGCCCAGCTCCTAGACCAGAACAGATGGGCTCCATTCCCAGTTCCAGCTTCCTGTTGGAGACTTTGGGAGACAGCAGTGCTGGTCTGAGTAACTGGGCCCATGTGGGAGACATGGGTGGGGTTCTCAGCACCCAGCCTCAGCTCTGGCCCACCCCTGGCTGTTGGGAGGCCTTTGGAAAATGAATCAGTGGATGAGAGCTGTCGTCCTCCTGCCTTCCACATATTTAATAACTTAGACCAGCTTCCTGCTTATGCTCATCCTGAATGGCAGCAGGGAATGACTCAAGAACTTAGGTCCTGACCGCACACCCGGGAAGCCCATATGTAGTTCCTGACTGCTGGCTTCTGCCCAGCCAAGCTTTTGGCTGTTGTGGGCATTTGAGTGGTTCTCTTTGTCAATTTATGTATCTATCATTTGTCTGTCTTCCCAATTTAAATAAATATTAAGAAAATCTAAATGCTGAACTGTGAGATGCTCTCAGTCCTACTTTGCCTGCATCCAACTGGATTTTCTGCATTTACGAATTGGAAATATTGTTCCTAAGAAAAATCAGATGTACTCACAGGGGAATACTTTCCAGTTACCAAGGAAATAACCTGTCCCTGATCCCTCTATAACAAAGTTCATGCTTTGAGAATAACAGCTTGCACTCAGAATTTCCCAAACAGAAACAATGTAGGAACAGCATTTTCACACAGCTTTCAACATTAAAGACAGAGAACAACCAACTAGATACATAGAGAATGAGAGAAGGTCTGAAAGAACCCTCTTGGATCTGATATGACTGGGAACCTCCTCGTAAACATGACCCTCCTACAGATAAAAACTCTCAACTCTGCAGAAATTAGAAGACCTAGGAGGGCCATTGGAACCAGAAAGAGATGCTATGCTCTGAGTTACCTGTTGACAGCTTTCAGCATGAAGGTCCATTAAAGTCAGCACCCAGAGAAGCCAACTCTCCTACAGAAACCCAGCCTCTCCAGTCTGAGAAACCAGGAAAGAGACTTTGGGTCAAACAACAGATGCTGAAAAAGGAAAAGAACTCTTGGAAGAGGGATGCAGATTCCATATGGAATGCACAAGTCTCCTGCTCACCCAGAGCAGCTGGCTGCGCACAGCTTAACCAAGGCTAAAGGACTGGGCTGAAATAAGAGTTACATTCCCAGAGACAGAGTTCAAAGTGGCTGTTTCACGACAAACCAACATGCATCCCTATGTTCATAGCAGCACAATCAGTAATTGCAAAAACATGGAAGCAACCAAAATGCCCATCAGCAGAAGATTGGATAAGAAATCTTTGGTTCATCTACTCCATGGAATACTACTCAGCTATTAAAAAAAACAAAATGCAGTTCTTTGTGGCTAAATGGGCCCAACTGGAAACTATAATGTTAAGGGAAATGAGCGAATCCCAAAAGGTTAGATACCACATGTTTGCCTTGATTTAACCTGTAATTTTTGTTTGGTTGTTTGTTATTTTTTGAACCTGTCATTGATACTGTCTCAACCCAGATGTTTTGAAGAATGGAACTTGCATTATTTTTAACATATTGTTTACTCAATACTATGTCAATTAATTCCATAATGTTGTATATTGATGCTGAGGTTTTGTTGGGGCTTTTAACTGACCGGAACTTTACTCTGTTAGCTCTACCTTCAGACCAGAGAAGGTCTCCCCAAGAGGCCACTGAACTTATCTGGACAATAAGACGCTGGACTTTATGCTAGGTATATGCTTGCAATGAAGGAATCTCAACTGAACTTGAACTGAGGTTATGCAGCAAGGTGGAGGAATCCACTATGGGGGGAGGGGTATGGGAGGGGTGGGGGGAATCCCCAGTGCCTATAAAACTGTATCACATAATACAATGTTAATAACAATAAAAAATAAATAAAAATTTCAAAAAAAAAAAACACAAACTGGCATCTAAGACAAGTAATTTCCTTCTAAAACCAAAGTCTTTATGTTTTTCAGAGGAAGCCTATCCAGAATGCTGCTGCTTCTATGGATTACTTAGTGGCGATAGGTGGCTGTTGTAGCAGTTATATCACCATCTGGGATTCCCACACCTGGCACGTGCAGATCTGAGTGTTGACTGGAGTCCAAGCAACTTGGCTTCTAATGTCGGGGTCATAATAACACTATCCTGGGAGACAGCAGTCACACTTAAGTACCTGAGTCCTTGCCATCCATATGGCAAACATGAATGGAGATCTGAGCTCCATGCCTGGAACTAGCTCAGCCCCAGCTGTTTCGGGGATGTTGGTAATGAAGTGCTGGGTGGAAGATCTCTCCCCTGTCTTTCTACCACTGTCTCTCTATCCCTCTGTATTTCAAATAAATAAAAATAACACATTTTTAAGCACTTGACTTAAAAGACAGAAATTATAAGAATAGATTTTTTAAAAAGCAAAACTGAACTGTTATGTTGCCTATAAGAAACACTACACATATCACAACTCATATAAATTGAAAGTTAATGGAGAGAAAAAAGTGTACAAAAAGGCAGGTGTAGTTTCATGAATAATAGCTAAACTAACTTCAAAATAAGAGTGGCTAAAAGAAGGAAGTGCATTCCATAATACAAGAGTGATTTCATTAAGAGTGCAAAGAATTTGTAGCTGCTTATATAAATATAAATAGAACTTCAAAATAAAAGAAAAATTGGCAGGACTTAAAGGAGATGTAGACAGTTGTACAGTCACATAGCTGGAGATGTAAACATCCTTCTCTCGTCAACTCTGTAGAGCAAAACAGCGAACAAACAGGTGGGACAAAAAGTAAGAGATCATCCAAAGAATGTCCTTAAGAAGAAACTAATGCTACCAAGAGAAATTTTTCAGTTCTGTTTATAAATTTTCAGGAAAAATGAACATAGTCAAAGTCACGCAAATTATGAAAACAAAGCAACGATTCAAGAAAACAAAAACAATAAACATGGCAAACTACATAGCCTAACTGGAAGCTTTTACACAACTTCATGACACTGGGAGCCTTGGAGTGGGAGTAGAAATAGATGTGAATATGGCATAAGAAAATCAAGTCCTCCTGGAAGATGATATGAAGTTCTTCAAGTAAAAACAGCAATATGAAAATATCATTTAGGCAGAAAGTGGTACAAAAATCTAGATGAGTGGAAAAGTGACTCCCACTGAAAATACTGAACTCAAGCGCAGGGAAAGGAATGGACCTGGTGCACTGATCACCCACTGGTGTGTGCCACATGTGCAGCTCTCTTGAACTTCCTGATTCTGAGCATCTCAAGCTCTGATACATCTTCAGATTATGTTGTAGCTGGCTGTGGGATCTCACTCTTCCACATCTAAGGCTGTAGGTAGTTGTTAGTCACTTGTACAGTAGAGGAACCTCTAAATCCAATGTCAGTTAAAACTGAAAATTACAGGTAAGTGGATCAACTCACACAAGAAATATGGCATAGCAGGTTGTAAACAGGATGGTACACTCCAGGCAGCAGGCAAGACTTTAGGTTCCTGTGCTGAGTGACAAGAGTCTGTGCTGGCAACTCTGAAACCAATGCTTGCAATTTTTAAGTGCCTTCCTTACATCTCACTTCTCTTTCCAAACTTCACCACAGCTACTTCTCTATTTCATGGTATTTTACACCCTCCTACACACATTGCATTTAAATACTTTTAGAGAACATTTGTAGTTCTTTTCAGAGAATTTGAGGGAAGAATTACCAATAGCAACTTTCAAAACTAGGCAAATTGCTAAAACAAGAGTGATGATTAGCTTCAAGAAAAATGCAGTTGCTTGGGATTATTTCTGTGCTGTGTACTCCTGCCGGCTCAGGGTCGAGATCCCAACAAGGCAGGTTCTCCTGCTTTGGCCTTTGTGCTGTGAATTTGCTGACTGTGATT